TGGACCTAACTTGGGCTTTGGAGTGTGCAGAGCTGGGGCGCCATCCTTGCTGACCCCCAAGCCCAGGGCTGAGCTTGGGGGCTGGGACGCAGAGGGGTCCCCGCGCCCACTCCCTGCGCCCCGTCCCCGGGAGCGTTTGCAGCCTGGGTGGCGGGCGAGCCGGGGCCTGCCCCCGGGACCCGCCCCCGGGACCCGCTAATGGCGCTCATTCCACAGGTGTCTGGCAGCGCAGGGGAGGCGAGGCCCCGGAGCCGCGTCCGTGTGGCACCTGGCCAGCCCGCCTGGCCCCTCCTCACCCTTTGTGCGTCTGTGCCCAGGGCGGGCGGCGGGCGGGGGAGGGGCTGGCGCGGGGCCAGCTGGCGCCCAGAAAAGGTGGGAAAGTTGAGGAGTTTGGGTGCCAAGGCCCGGTGCAGGGGACGGGGCCGAGGCACTGGGGGTGACGCACGTGCGTGGGTGCGTGTGTGTGCGTGCGTGTGTGCAGGGGCCGTGTGCAGGTCTGTGCGCCGCAGGCTGCCATGTGGAGCTGGGGGAGGGACCCGGCAGGTGCAGCGCTGGGGGCCCCAGAGTGGGGCCGAGTCCGCTGAATCCACGCACGTCGCCTCTAACCAGAGGTGGGCACCGGGCCCCACCGAGGAGATGACTTCAGGGCGGGGGCCTGAGGGTTGAGCCGAATGGCAAGATCTGGAGGAGGAGAGCTCTGGGACGGAGAGAGTCTGTGCAAAGGCCCTGGGGCAGGGCCCAACGGCAGGTTTGAGGCGCGTCCAGGAGACCCTGTGTGGAGGGGAGAGGAGGCAGGGCTGAGGACCAGGCCAAGCTCCGAGGCCAGGGTCAGGAGCAGGGCTGCTCCTCTGCAGAGCACAGAAGCCTGGCACCCCGTGGGCGTGCGTCTGGGGGCCCCGCCAGGCAAGCGGGTTTGAGGAGAGCGAGGGCCGGGCCGGCTGCACGTGGGAATGATTGGCGTTCCGAGCTTCAGACAGCAACGTGGGCCGCTCGGTTTGTGCTGGAACCCAGTCTCCGGGTTCAAACTCCCCGGGATCCTGAGCCTGTCATTATCCGGCTGCACCCCGGGGCGCTGCCTTTATCCCCAGACAGGGCCTGGCCCGCCTGCCCTGAGGTCGACCCTGGCCCCCAAGATGGGCGGGGGTGGGCGGGGCCAGTGCACCCCGTGCCTGCCCCGCCCCCAGCCGGCACGGGCAGGGCCAAACCCAGAGCTGGAAGGGGACTTGAGCCCGGCTTCTCCCTTGCAGCAGACGAGCGCCTGGCGCAGAAGGGGTGCGCCCTCGGCCCGCGCAGGCCTCTGCTGACGCTCCCAGCGCCTCCCGCCTCCTCCCACTTCCTCCCCTGTCCCTGCGGGCTCCTCCCAGTGTGGCTCTGGCCAGTGCAGCGCTTGGTGGCTGGGCAGGGCCAGCGGGAGAGGCCTCCGTGCACTGGGCCCTACAGGAGGAGCTGGAGAGTAGCAGCTAAGGGAGTGAGCTCCCCGTCAGCAGGGGTGTGCAATAGGCCCAGATCACAGCCCCTCAGCCGCCTTCCGGAGTCAGGGGATGGGGCGGATGAGACACCGCTTTCCTCCTAGCTCGTTGACGCACTGGGACAAACCTCCACTCAAACCTCAGTTTTCCCAACTCTAAATTACTAAGCAGAGCCACCTCTCCGCCTCCCAGGTCTCAGGGGCTCCTGGCCCCGGCCTCCCCGACTCTTAGCTACAGCCACACGGACATCTGCCTCCGGGCCTTTGCAGATGCTACGGCCATGGCACGCCGGGCCAAGGGCTTTCCGTGACTTAAATCTCCCACCAGCACTGTGACGTAAGCACCATGGACGCCGGTTCAAGTCCTGGCTGCTCCACTTCCCATCCAGCTCTCTCCTGTGGCCTGGGAAAGCAGTGGAAGATGGCTCGAGTCCTTGGGCCCCTGTACCCATGTGGGAGACGCGGAAGAAGTTCCTAGCTTCTGCCTTCGGATCAACACAGTGCTGTCCATTGTGGCCATTTGGGGAGTGAACCAGCAGATGGAATACCTCTCTCTCTCTCTCTACCTCTTTACCTCTATCTCTATAACTGTATTTTGAATAAAATAAATATATCCTAAAAAATGAAGAGAGAGAGGTCCTCCATCCGCTGGCTCACTCCCCAAATGACAAGGGCCAGGACTGCGCCGATTCAAAGCCAGGAGCCAGGAGCTTCTTCCAGGTCTCCCACGTGGGTGCAGGGGCCCAAGCGCCTGGGCCATCTTCCACTGCTTTCCCAGGCCACAGCAGAGAGCTGGATGGGAAGTGGAGCAGCCGGGACTAGAACCGGTGCCCATGTGGGTCGCCGGCACTGCAGGTGGTGGCTTTGCCCGCTGTGCCACAGCGCCGGCCCCACAAAGGCAGCGGCACAACCAGAACCCGTGGGGGTTCCGTGTCCTTCTGTGATTCATCCCCTCTGCCTCCCTGCCCGCCAACGGCTGCAGGTTAGCGTGTGTTCTCTAGAACTTTCTGTGAGGGGAATCCCGGGGTGATTCTGCCCCTCGGCGGCGACGCTGATCTCCCCCGTGTCGCCCCACCTCGACCCCACTGTGTGCTTCATGGAGCAGGGACTTCGTCTGCCTTGTGTCTGGGTCCCCAGCCCCCGGCGCAGGGCCAGGTACACAGGAAGTGCCTAATGGATGCTGAGTGATGGGGAGGAGGAGCGAGGTGTGCAACAGCAGGGAGGAGCAGGCCCAGTTGCCTGGCAGGGAGGAAGCCGAGGCCGATGAACACCGGCCCCTGGCGGCCCCTCGGGTGCGCAGGCCGGCGCGTCCCCGTGGCCGGCTCCGTGGGACGCTGCTGGACACACAGGCCTGCGCTCAGGCCTTTGTGCCCCTGTGGGCACCCGGCTCCGAGGAACGGCGCAGCCCACGTGGCCCGGCAGGCCCGGGCCTCGGCAGCAACAGGCAGGTGGGCGGCGGGAAGGGGCTGTGGCCGCTCGCGAACCAGTCAGACTCCTCTGCCCAGGTCCCGGGAGCCTCTGGGAGCCGAGCAGGGGCGGGTGGGGAGGGGAGGGGAGGCAGCAGCTAATTAGCGGATGTTCCAGGGAGTTTCCAGTTCGTGCCCCGTCAGGCCGGGCGGGAACATCACACAATTGCTCAGGTGCCCTCCAGGTGCCCTGAAGGCTCCACGTGGCCCAGGGGCCTCTGGGTAACTAGCCAGCGTGTGTGGGGGGCGCACCGAGCCGCGTGTGGAGACAGAGGCACAGCGAGAGCCACGTGTAAGCGTGCACTTCCTGTGTCTGTCTGCTGAGACGATCTTATCGCCCATTTCCCAGACTGGAAAACCGAGGCCGGGCGTTGTGGAGCTGGCTGGGGTCATGTGAAGGGCACTGGGAGCTTTGAGGCCAGGGGTGATTTTGGAGAGAGTCCCTGAGTGGTAGCACTCCTGGAGCACCTGCTGCACGCCGCACGGGGTGCCCTGGGCACCCACTGCCCACCACATCCCACCTGCAGATGGGAAGGGTTTGGAGCAGACCAACGGGGTCCATGGGGAGGGCGTGGCCTAGGGAAAAGGGGTCGGGGCCCCCTGTGGTGGGGGTCCCTGGGCTTTCCCAACTGACTCTGGCGGCAGGCCTCTGTCTTCGACATCCCCGCCGGCTGCATGCCGGACTGGGAGCCACCCCCCGCCAGAGCGGAGGGAGCCTGCTCTCTGTTTCTCATCCTTCCTGCCCCCTCTTCTGAGGAGCCCTCCTGGAGCCCCCAGGTGGACCTGCTCGGAGCGCTCCGCCGTGGGCTGCAGCTGTGTGTCCCCATCTCGTGCCTGTGGGCTTCTCAAGGGCGGGGCCCGCTGAGTCACCTCTTCTGGATTAGGGAGCGCAGGGGTGGCCGAGGACTGGGCCGCTGGGTGCCGGCTGAGCGGACAGTCCAGTGACTGGGTGCACGGCGGGTGGATGAAGTGGATAAATGGCCAGGTGAGAGGTGGATAGCTGAGTGGAGTGTGGACGGATGACGGCGCAGGTGGTTGAACAAACACGTAGGTGGACGGCGGGTAGACAAAGCCACACGGGTGACGGATGATGGATGGCAAATTGAATGATTTCGTGACTGGGTACTGGGGGTTATTAATGCACAATGAACAAACATAAGTAAATAAAAACACAACCCTGAAAGTGAAGTGATTGAGTGATTAAAAATAGATGGGGCCTGTGCCGCGGCTCACTAGGCTAATCCTCCGCCTGCGGCGCCGGCACGCCGGGTTCTAGTCCCGGTCGGGGTGCCGGATTCTGTCCCGGTTGCCCCTCTTCCAGGCCAGCTCTCTGCTGTGGCCTGGGAGTGCAGTGGAGGATGGCCCAGGTGCTTGGGCCCTGCACCCCATGGGAGACCAGGAGAAGCAACTGGCTCCTGCCTTCGGATCAGCGTGGTGTGCCGGCCGCAGCGGTCTTTGGAGGGTGAACCAACGGCAAAGGAAGACCTTCCTCTCTGTCTCTCTCACTATCCACTCTGCCTGTCAAAAATAAAAAAATAAAAAAAAAAGACAGAAGACTAGGCACATAAAGGCACTGATGCATAGTTAGATTAGTGATTCCACAGGTGCACCGATGGGCAGACGTCTGGGTGGGTGGGTTGCTGAGTGGGCTGAGTGCTGGGTGGGTGGGGGGTGTGTGGGAGGGTGGGGGATGGATGGCTGGGTGGGGGGTGGGTGGCTGTGTCGGTGGATGGATGGGTAGGGGCAGGCAGGCGAGTGCGGTGTCAAGGTCTGACCTGAGCTCAGATCGGCAGAGACCCTGGTGCCCCCCGCTGTGGCGGTTGAGGTTTCTGGAGTGGGAATTGGGAGCGCTGCGGACCCTGCTCCACGAGGCTTCAAGGGGGCAGAGATGCTACCGCGATTTTGTGGGGGTGGAGCTGCCTACAGATGCCGGATGCGGAGACCCAGGGCAGGGCAGGGGCGTCGTCTTCGTCCTCCAACCGTGGCCTTGGGGAGGAGCCCAGGCCCAGCGGGGTGCAGGCGTCTCCCGGAGAGGTGCTCCTGGAGGCCTGGGAGCCGATTCCTGGGAGCAGCGAGGCTGCGGGACAGACGCATTCCAGGTCTCAGCTCCCGCACCTGCTGGCCGGCGGTGGGAAAATCGCCCCACCCCTCTGCACCTCCTGTTCAGGTATCACATGGGCCAGGCCTAATCCCTGCTGGGTTGGAAGTGTGCAAGGTGCAAGGCCCCTGGCGCAGAGTGCAGTAGGCGCTCCATAAGTGCTCTGCTTTGTCTCGCTGTCGGGAGCGCCCGCTGGGCAGAGCGGTGCCTGAAGACTCCAGGGGCCTCTGGGAGTGGCAGGACCCAGAAGCTGCCGGGGGAGCTGACCACTGGGGTGGGGAGGGCCAGTGCAGGGAACCCTGGGGGAGAAGGGGTGACCAACCTGGCACCTGGGGCCCCGGGTGGGCGGGGGACATAGGAGCGAGAGGCCCGGCCCCTGGCTTGGGTCCCTGGGTAGATGGCGGGCTTTCCATGGGAGGGGAAACTGAGGCAGAGCGCTGCTTTGGAAGGAAGCTGCTGAGCTCTCTCGGGGTGCGTGGATAAGGAGGGTGCCTGGGAGCCTTCCCGGCGGAGGCATCTGTGAGGCCGTCGGAGACCGAGACAGCCGAGGGGGCCCGGGCCTCTCAGGGAGCAAGTGAAATATTCTCTCAACAGCTTGGCAGGGCAGCTGCCTGTTCACGGCCCCAGCACAAGGCCTGGCTGTTTGTTGAATAAACCAGGCAGGACCCCCGCAGACAAGCCGGGCGGCGGGCGGTGGTGGCTGCTCGAGCAGGGAGGCCCGAGTTCCAGCCCAGCTCCTCTCGGTGGTCCTTACAGGGCCCTGGCTCGGCCCCCTCTGTGCACTGAGCCTCAGCTTCCTCACCTGGAAACTGGGCACAGGTAAAGATTCGGGGCGGTGCTTGTGGACGCCGTAGCTTTGCGCTGGGCCCGGGAAGCATCGCTGACTTCCTGGTGTGGCAGAGGAGGGAGCTGGGATCCGCCCGACAGCCACAGCCACAGCTGCGTCCCATGTGGGAAAGGAGCCCTCGGCCCCGCCCCGCCAGCTGCAGCCGGTGGGCGGGGAGGCGCATCCCGTGGGGTGGAGGAGGGAGAGCAGATGACAGGATCCTGACTCAGGGGTCAGCCTGCGAGGCCCGATCCGCGGCTGCTCGGCGCTGGCGCTCTGGGGGCCGCACCTGGCGGATGCTGGGCTCGGTTCAGCACACAGGAGCAGCGCCTCAGAACCTTGGGACGCTCTGACGGTACCGGGCCCCGTTCCCAGGGGCCCAGCTGCTCTCGGGGTGCGCGCCCCACTCCCCACCACGCCCTCCTGTCTCTCTGAGCCCGAGGCGCAGCCTCCAAGCCGCCCCTGGGGCCTGGTGGGAACGCACGTTCCAGCCCCCCCAGCCTCTCTTTCCTCCTCACCACCAGGCCTTCGTTCCTGTCCTGTCCCCTAGCACCCGGGGGTCCCGGCCGCCCCCTCTCTCCGCCCCGCAAGGACCAGCACCGCACTCTGGGGGCGGCGAGGGCTGAGACGTGGCCAGGGCCGCGGGACCCGTGGGAGGCAGAGCCACATCTGCTGGAGACGTGTCAGCTGGGCCGGGTCACACCGGCGGCTCATTCCCGAGGCATGTGGCTGCCGTGTTGTGGCCCGGCGGGTGGGGGCGGGGCCGGGGCTGGCCGCCGGCAGAGGCCTTGGCTGAGCAGGACAGCAGCTGCTTCAGCAGCGAGCGCCTGACCGCCGGAGCGCCCGTGTGACCTTGGGCAAGTCACCGCGTGCCTCTGAGCCCCTGGCTTCAGGAAAGACCCTGCGGTCAGCCGCCGGGGAGGGCCCTGCATCCCCCGAGGGGCGGCCTGGAATGGATCCTGGAGGCGCAAATGGCAGACATGGTGGCCGGGAGTCCCTTCTCTGTGGTTCCTGGAGGGAGGGTCACCCACAAGCCCTGCCCCTCCCCCACCCCCGCAAAGTCCTCCCAAATTATTTGGAGGGAGAAAAGAATCCATCCACGGAGCAAATATTTACCGAGCACTTCCTGTCGGTCAGGCGCTGGGGACACAGCAGGACACAAGACGGCCGAAGGTCTGTGCCCACGTGGAGTCCACGCTCCTGTGGAGGCAGCGGGCAGTAAAGCAGACAGATAAGCCGTCTGGCACGTTTGAAAGGATCCACTGTGCACGGCCACAGAGCGGAAGGAGCTGCTGTTTAAGTGGGCACAGGTCGCGGGGCAGGTGCGCCTGAGCAGTGATCAGCGGGGGTGAGGGAGGGAGCCATGGCCGGGGCGGGGGCGGGGAAGAGTCTGGGAGGTGACAGGCACCGCAAGTGCAAAGGTCCTGAGGCAGGGTGTGGTGTCCTGGTTTACTTGGGGTGCATCAAGGTAGGCGCAGGCCAGTGGGGCTGCCGTGGCGTGAGTGAGGGCAGAGGGGCGGGGCAAGTCACACGGGGTCTTGGCAGCTGGCAGGGCTTCGGCCTCCTCTGTGGCTGAGGCAGGAGCCATGGTGTGCTCTGAACAGGGAGGGTACGGTCTGACTCGGGGTTTATGGGCCCCCTCTGGCCTGGGTGGAGGCCAGGATGGGGGCGGGGAGAGCGGGAGTGGCCTCTGCTGGGTGGGCCTTGGGTTAGGGATTGGGGCTGCTCTCTTGCTCCGGAGCCTCCATGGCTCTCTATCGCCCCCATACACGGCATTCAAGGCCTCCACCCCCTGGCCCGGCCCCCCGCTCTCCCCCCAGCCTCACTAGGCAGCCGTCCTCTGTTACTCCCTGTGCACCTGCTCGGCCAGGAAGGCCCCTGCTGGCCTCCGTGTCCATCCGGCTTGATGAATGCTCAGTTGCACCCAAGCAGGAGGCTAGAAAAGTGAGGGGCACAGGCAGCCGGGCCCAGGACTGTGGGCGGCTTTGGGGGGTGAGGACACGGCCCGGCCCAGGCACAGCCGCTGGGAGAGCTCCCGCAGCCCAGGTGTGGCCCTGGGCCCGGCCATGTCTGCGCTGCAAACCGAGGAGGACAATGGACGTCCTCACGGTGGTTCTGTGCCCTCAGGCTGTCACGCTGCGGGCTGCAGCCTCCTGGGCAGACGCCCAGGCCACACCATGGCCCAGCTGCATTGGGCAGGCCAGCCGGGGGCCACCCCGAGCTGCTACCAGGGACGGTGGGGGACGAGGGGGGGAGGCTCGGCAGCCCGGCCACCTCCCATGATGGCTGGGCAGGGACAGAGGCCTGGGTTCAAACCCTAACTGGCGGGGCTGGTGCCCTGGCACAGCAGGTTAACGCCCTGGCCTGCGGCACCGGCATCCCATATGGATGCTGGTTTGTATCCTGGCTATTCCTCTTCCTATCCAGCTCTCTGCTGTGGGCTGGGAAAGCAGTAGAAGATGGCCTTGGGCCCCTGCACCTGCATAGGAGACCCAGAAGAAGCTCCTGGCTTCACATCAGCACAGCTCTGGCCATTGCAGCCATTTGGGGAGTGAACCAGCAGATGGAAGACCTCTCTCTCTCTCTCTCTCTCTCTCTCTCTGTGCCTCTCTGTAACTCTGTAACTCTGTCTTTCAAATAAATAAATATAATCTGAAAAAAAAAAAACCAACCCCCTAGGTGGCACAGACCACCTGCACGATCTGGGGCGTCACCCCCGCCCCTGTGACCCAGGGAGGAGACCCACCCTCCTGGGTCTCCATGGAGGCCATGGGCTCCCGCAGGCATGCAGCACCCGGGGCAGGCGACCTGTGCCTCGGTCTCCTCATCTGTGAGGTGGGCATGGACCCCCACCCTGCGGGAGCTGCTGTGAGCCCAGTGGCTGTAGCCAGGCCTTGGATAGAGCGTGCGCCCCAAGCGGTTCGGATGCGGACATGACCTGAGGTCACCGAGGGCTCTGCGGGACCCTCTCAGTCCCTGTGGTCAGACACCAGCCTGCTCGGTCTCACCCCATTTCACAGACTCCCGAGGTGAGGAGGGACGTTCCAGGCCTGGGGACATTGGCCACGGCCCCAGGCGGGCCAGCAGAGGCCTGTCGTGGGGACCGTGGGGACAGGCGCTTGGGTCGCCCTCTGCTTCCTGCCTGCCTGGCCCAGATCCCTCCCCATGCTCCTTTAAGAAGCGCCTGCTGTATACAGCGGGATGCTGGGCACCTGGCTGCCGGAGGCTGTGGGGGGCAGTGCTGGGGTGCTGCCCGGGAGAGGAGGAAGTGGGGGCAGGGCAGGCCGGGCTGACGCAGCTGTGATGTCAGACAGGCCACAGGCGGGGCGCCCAGGGCTCCTACCGCCCCCTTCACCCCTTCCCGGCTCCTCTCCAGACCGCCGGCCCCGGGCCTGGCTGCGCCGCGAGATTCCCAGATTTCACAACTGGGCTGGCGCTGAATCACGTACAGTGAGTCTGGGGAGGGACTCCCGGCTGCCCAGCGTCCCCGGGGCCTGCAGCTGCCACGCCCACCCCGCTCCCCGGGGCCCCTCCCTCCCTCCCTGCCGGCTGCCTGCTGCCCACGGGGCGCGAATGGCGGACAGACAACCTCTCTGAGCTGTGCCCCAGTCAAGAGGGGGGTGTGGCTGCGGTGGGGGGGGGTGCTGGGGACAGCGCAGGGGCTTGTGGGAGCTCCTAACCGTACCCCTGTCTGGCAAGCGGGACTCATCAGAGTGCCCACTGCCAGCTCAGGAAGTGCCCGGCCAGTGCGGTTGAGGCCTGAGTCCGGGGAGGTGGCCCGGGCCTGGGCCACCCCTGTTCCTGGGATCCGACTTCTCCTTCTCTGCGTCTCCGCCACATCGGCGAGCCCTGTGCACACTGCTGGGTGTTGCTGCAAATGAAGCAAGCACTGGGCCTGCTCCTGGGGACCCGCTGTCCCGGTGTGGGGGGGCGCACCCTCCCAGCGGCCGAGTGAAGCCAGGGCTGGGCCCAGAAGAGACTCAGCGAGGCCCGCGCGGCTGCAGCGAGGGGCAGGGCATGGGGTCCACCTCGGAGCCTCTGGGCAGCACTTGGACCCCGGGCCCCGCCCACAAGCAGGGCCCTGGCACCTGCAGGGCAGCCTCTTCCTGGGGGGTGGGGCAGGCCCTGGAGCTGCCCACTCGCAGGTTCCCCAGAGGGCCAGGCCTCCTGCAGCAGCTGCATCTGGCTCTCCCGCTCCTCCCCCCAAGGCGGGGGCTACCCCCATGGCTCTGGGTCAGGTTGAGTGGGGGAGCCCCGGAGCTGAGGGGTGGGGGGGAGGCTGCTTGGTGGGGGGTAGGAGGAGGAGGGGTCTCCGGCCTAAGTCTGCAAGAGGAGGAGCATCTGGCGGTGGGCCACTCTGGACCAAGCTTGGACAGAAGTGTGCGTGCGTGCAGGTGCGTGTCTCTGCGTGCACATGCATGTATTCTGTGTGTGCATGGGTGTCTGCACATACGTGTGTCCGTGTGTGCACACATGTATCTCCCTGTGTTGCAAATGTCTGCACATGTGTGCACCTGTGTCCACGTGTCCGTATGCATGGAGGGCGGCTGCACTGGGGACTGGGTGAGGCTCGGGACCCAGGAGACGCAGAGAGGGAAGGAGGGAGGGGTGAGCCCCAACATGGCCAAGGGGGTTTCAAAAATCACTTAGCTCTCTCTGGAAAAGTCCTACAGCTTTTCCCTTCAGCACCTGGAGATGGCGTGGGCGGCCGGGGACCACGTGCTCAGAAGGCTCCGTGTCTGTGCACGCGCATGAGAAACAAGCGCAGGGCCCCATGGGAGCAGCCAGGCCCCACCCCGCGGTCCGGAGGAAGAAACAGGGGAGCTGCCCGGCTCTCCCTGCGGGAACTGGCCCGTGCGGCTTCCGGCCCCCCAGCACCCCACGCCTGCTTGGTGTCGAAGCCGGATGTTGACGGCGGCTGCAACCCCGGCCCATCTGGAAAGGAGCTGGCCCGGGGTTGAACCTGGACCGGGGCGGCTCGGGCTGGGACCCCGCGTATCCTCCCCCGGGCCGGGCTAATTACCGCCGGTTAAAAGCACCCACTTCCCGCACTTTCATCAGGGCTCCCTGCGCTGCCAGACGGTAATTAACTCTCTGAAGTCGGGCCGGAGGCAGACGTGTTATTACCCATGCTTTTTACAGGTGGGTAAACTGAGGCAGAGCCCACTGCGGCCTGAGAGCCTGTTGCTGCCCCGTGACTCAGCAGCTCGGTCTCTGCTCCTTCCCACAGGAGGCAGCGGCTGGCTCAGGTGCCCCTCCCCCGGGTGCCAAGCTACAGGCTGGATCCCGAGGGCCCCGGGGACTGTGCCCCCTACCCTGTCGCCTCTCAGAAGCAGCGGCGCGTGGGTGTGGAGCAGATGGAGGGGGCTGCAATCTGGCTCTGCCGTGTGACCCTGGGCAGGTCCCTGCCCGCCGCTGGCCTTCGGCTTCCTCCTCGGAAATGTGCGGATGATCACGGGTTTGTCCAGGGCGAAGGGCATGAAGCTGTCTCTGCGGCATCTTCTCTCCCCTGGCTCCAGTGTTGCTGCTCTCCTCACTACTCCTCCCAGCCCTCTTACTACCACAGGGCCTTTGCACACGCAGTGCAGATGTCTCTCGGGAGTTGTCCTTCCTTCCGCTCTCCCCACAGCTGGCTCCTTCTCCTCTTTCCTGGCTCAACCACCCCTGGTCCTCTTAGGGCACTTCGGGAGGCGTCTCTCTCTGTGTCTCGCTTGCGTATCATCCAGCTTCCCGAGGGCAGGCGATTTCGCCCGCTTCGTTCACGCTGTGCTCCTGGAGCTCAGCACAGCGTGAGCACACAGTAGGTACTTCAGAAACGGCCTCAAGGTCAGCAGCTGACTCGCTGCGTCACCCTAGGAGCTTCAGCTCCGGGGTCCCCATGCCCCTTGTGCCAAGCGTGGCCTGGACTGGAGCTTCCCTAAGGAGGCAGGGAGCACTGGAAGCCCCGGGTCTCGGGCTCATTGTCTCCCCAGACAATGGCGTGGAGAGCAGGAGGCGGGAGGGGCCTGGGCAGATCTCTGCAGCCGGCCGCCCCCTCCCTTGGCGCATCTGTCAGCACCCTTGGGGGAAGGAATTTGGAAAGGGGGGGGGAAGAAAAGGCGGCGGGTGCACGGGGCCGGCTCCCGCACCTGTGTAAACACCACGTCGTCTCAGAGCGCGTCGAGGGTGCTCACCTTGGGTGCCCAGTTCTGGGGCTTGTTTTCCTTGGCAAAGCCCCCACGGGAGTGGAATTTCGGCCCAGGGAGCCGGGTCGCCACCCTGGTGGTGCGCTCCCCAGGCCGGGGCAGGAAGGGTGCGGCGGACAGCGCGCTGCCGGCCCCGCCAGCACCCAGACCATGCTGGGATTTGGGGAGCAGCCTCCAGCTCTGGAGCCCGTCCCGGAATTCTGGAATGTTGGAATTCAAACAGCCTCCTGCCCATTTTCCGGAGGCGGACCGTGAGTCTCGGAGTTGGCCTGAGGGCAGACGGCATGCCGGGATACGCTGCAAGTCTCCAGAGGTGGCGGGTTCAGGAACAGGTCACACCAGCACACCGACTTCCTGCTCAGGGGCCCCCAGGCCCCTCAGCGTAGTCCTGCCCCAGCCCCGTCTTCAAGGGGGGCCCGTGAGCAGGTGCCACCCGGGACTGCCATGTCAGGGGGGCCTTGGGGCCAAGCCTGCAGCTCCCAGCCAGCGACGCTGTGAAGCGGATGCAAGTTTTCCACGGGAGGAAGCACGAGTGAGTGCCAGCCTGGAGCCAGGGGACACGGCCGGAGACACGGCAGGGGACATGGCAGGGGACACGGCCAGGGGACACGGCAGGGGACAGGGCAGGGGACATGGCTGGGGACACAGCAGGGGACACAGCCCGGGAGAGGCTGCTGGCCTGAGACCCATGCGGGGTGCACAGGCCCAGCCGCCCGGGGCTCCCCAGGTGCATGAGCCGCTGTTCTGTGGGGCAGCCGGGGCTGGTTTTCCGTCACTCGCTCACCGAGGTTCCAGCAGTTGCCCAGGGGAAGGCAGGGAGCAGGTCCCAGGCACAGCAGCCCGCACGCCCAGGGACCCCAAAGCCACGAAGCGGGAGCCCCCTGCTCCGCGCCATGAGTGCAAGGATTTGTGGGGTGGTGAAGGCGCAGCCGAGGTGACCACTTCCACCGGCGCCGGGCGGGGGTACCAGTGAGTGAGGCCCCCTGTGTGCCCGGCTTGTGCCGGGGGACAAGGGACACAGCTGGCAATGGCCGGTCTGCTGCTCCCCAGCCATCCCCGGCCCCTGCGGGCTCCTGTGCCCCGTGCCCTCGGCATGGCTCAGCCCTGCTCAGCGCTGGCTCCCACGCTCCAGCGCCCTCATAGTGGGGTGACGCCGCACACCATTGGGGCCGCTTGAAATCACTGCCAGGAGCCACTTGGTGTCACCCAGGGGGCGTGTCCTCCAATGCGGAGATGGGGTTGCCGCTGACCCCAGGGCAGCCCCGCAGCACGGAGCCCTGACACCCACAGGACGGGGGTGTCAGAACTTGCTGAGTGGGTCGCAGCCGCCCCCCCTCTGGGGACAGTAACCGCACTAAGGGCTCCCACCCGGACTTGCTGCGTGCTCTCCTCCCAGCTTTGTTATTTATTTATTTACTTTTTTTTTTTTTTTTGACACACAGAGTGGACAGTGAGAGAGAGAAAGGTCTTCCTTTTCCATTGGTTC